ACATCGTTCTGTCCCACCTGAAGCACCCTGCCCCACCCCCTTTATTTTTTAACAGACGGAGCCACTGCCAGACATTCCCCTAAGCACTTTGAGTGACACACACACACACACACACACACACACACACACACACACACACACACACACACACCCCAAAAACAAACACTGGAGTGTTCCTGGTATCAGAGGGGACAAGCACAGAGGGGTCAAGTAACTTTCCCAGGGTACACATCTAGGAAAAGCAAAGGAAGGGCCCCATGGCTCCCTTCCCTTTCCTCCCCCACCACCCCCACTGTCTCCATTCCCTTTCCTTTCTCCCAAGCTCATCCTTAACTCTCAGACTCTCTAGCATGAACACATGCACAAAGGAATGAATGAACAGTGACTGTCTCCCACGTGCTTCTGATTTCCAGGATGGGTTACACAGGCCTGCGGATGGACTGTGAGGAAGGTACACCAGGGCCACAGATAGACCCCATGTGGGAATGAGGTGCTAGGAGCCTGTGAAGGGCTCAGCAGGAAAGAGAAGTGATTCCCACTTTTCACCTGCTTCCACTGCACCAATATGCAAGATGAGTTGACTCACAGAGTCAGCGTGAAGGCCAACAGCTGGGCAGAGCTGACTCATTCTGTTCACCCACCCTCCAGGGTTCAGTGACATACTGTGCCTTGCACTGCAGACGAGGGCTACACACACTGACTGCTGGGCCAGACATCACCCTGATGCTATAAAGTGGGATGGCCTTGGTCAAATCACTTCACCTCCCTGAGCCTCTATGTCCCCATCTGTAAAGAAAGATGATAGTGACATCTCTACCACCAGCCATGGGGCAGACAGGAGGACCCCTCATGTAAAACTTAACCATGATCACTGCCCACGACCTGTGAGTGGGTGACTTGGCATGAAAGAATAGCTAAATTGAGCACTCTGTTGATAGGAGAATACCACATCTACCCAAGCAAAGCGGAGAATGTCTCCCTGCTTTGGTTGGAAGATTTGACCACATAAGAATGGCCAGAAAGAGACACTAAATATGGGGGTGTGAACACATGCCAAGGTGTGCAGGTGCCTGCAGAAGCCTCAATGGGGAGGTTGAGGGATTCTACCCGGGGCCTACAGCAGAGACACCACTCCACCGATGTCATTCTTCACTGCTTTTGAAGACTATGAAGCTTTCTCTTCTGTTGTACTTTGTTTTCCCAAGACAAGGTTGCACTATGTAGCCTAGGCTGGCCTCTAACTCTTAGCCCTCCCATGGTCCTTTGCTGGGCAGGCTACAGCACCCTGATGCAGGCTGAATGGAAGATACACAACCCCCAATGGCTTCCACTGGCGTCTCCAACAAACCTGTCACCAGATGGTCCTGCTGGCTCCTCTAGCATTGGTCCCCTGCACAGCTCCTCTCCCTTCCTCACTGCCTCAGATACAGTGCCCTGGTATGAAGTGACTACTGACATTTTCCCCGCAAGTCTGCCAACACTTAGATGACAGAGCCCACTAGTTCACACATCTTAATCTCCCTGCACCTAACACAACATCCCAGAATCTAGGACATGTGCAACAAGGAAGTATTCTTTAGCCTCAAGGACTCTGAGGCCAGTTCTATTTTTGCATGTCCCTCTTAGGGCCTAGGTGCTGCATGGGGTGAGTTTAGCAGGAGAGCATACCTACTGCAGTACCACTGTCTTCATATGTGTTTTTAGTCAGCCTTTGAAGGAATGATTTCTCCAACACATTAAAAGGAGTTTGCCTTGCCTCAGTGCCAAGTGAATATGCAGAAGGACTGTGGTTCTTGGTTCCCATCCACTCACTGAACTGTAATAGGCAGGATTGGCATGGAGTCTCTGCTCAAACCCAGACTCACTCTGCAGAGGCATCCTGTAGTCAGTGTCCACATATGTGACCAAGTCTGCCTGGCCTCTTGCACATCCTGAAAAACCCACCCATCAGGAAGAGGAAGGAGAGCTGCTTCTACCTGTCCTGCAAGTTTTCTGCTGTTAGAATTCAGTTGGAGAATTCCTGCTGAGACCCACTGCCTCACAGTCACCAGTCACTGTCACCAGTGACGGCACTGTGTGGGAAGCACACAGACACTCATGTGGCACATAAAACAGGCTATGTAGCACAGTCCCCAAATGGTGCTCACCAGTCAACTCAGGAGTGAGTCAGTTAACAGCAAAGGCTCACAATGACTGGGTGCTCATGACTCATTCACCCCAAAGATGTCACATATGGATTTTTCTTCATGGTCCAAACCGACAAGTGAGTCACCTTTGAAATACGCTTTCTAGAAATCTTGCCATCAGGACACCAAAGCATATTCTAAGGTACTGGGCCCCCGTGAATCTGCACAAGTTTGGCCTTTAACTGAGTTCAGTGAAGGCCTTGATGGGCACTGACAGTCTACACCCTGACTCATTTTCTCTTGGAAATTGAAGGAGTCGCCCAAATATTCCCTGATATTCAGCCAAAGTGGACTGACTGAAGGGAAAGTGTGTTATGCCCCAACCTCATGGCAGGTAAAGACTACCATCCAACCAGCCATGGAGCAATGGCGTGGTCCAGGTCAGGGATGAAGTTGTGGCTGGTGGAGGACAGACACATTGGATCTATAGGAAACTGGTCTAGACATCTGGTTACTACCCAGTTTATCACTAGGCCAGGCTATCCAAGGTGGTAGCCTTCATGCCCATGTTCACTTACACATGAATAAGCGAAAAAAGTCTGCTCTACAGACCTGAGTGCGGAAGGTAAAATTTCACTTTATTAGCAGGGATGGAGCTTCTCCTGCATGGAGGGGTCACCTATGAACCACTGAAAAGAGGAAACCTACTCCCGGTGCCCACTCCACACAGGATAGATCTAGGATTGCCACTTCTCATTCTAAATGACTGGGGTGATTTCATTGGGAATGGCCCCCATAGACTCATGTATTTGAACACTTAGTCCATAGGGAGTGACACTATTGGAGGTGTGGTCTTGTTAGAGTACGTGTGTCACTTTGAGGTCTCACATGCTCAAGCTACATCCAGTGTGGCTCACGGTATCCTTCTGCTGCCTTCGGATCAAGACATAGAACTCTCAGCTCCTTCTCCAGCATCATGCCCGCGCTGCCGTGCTTCCCACCATACCAATAATGGACTACATCTCAACTATAAGGCAGCCCCAATTAAGTGTTTTCCTTTATATGAGTTGCCGTGGTCATGGTGTCTCCTCACAGTGATAGAACCCCAACTATGACAGTGACTGAACTCCAGAAGCCCCATTCCTCAGTCCTGAGCCTTGGTTGGTGAGCTCTTGGTGCTCTTGTTGGACTTGCCTCAATGGAGGTTTATAAAATGGAGGGGGTGTGTGAAGAAACAGGAGGTGAAGAAGGAGTTAATTCATCCTCAGAGAATGCTCTTAGCTATATAAGAGTGTGGTAGGCTGAGCTAGTTTCTAGACCCTTACATGACAAATGGTCTTGGCAGATGTGATTAAATTAAGGATCTTGAGTTGGGAGACCACCATGGGTTTTCTGGATGGCCCACTGGCACGACAAGAGGAGGACAGGTCTGAATCAGAGAGACATGAGAATGTGACAGATGAAGGGCCAGAGCAATGAGACCGTCTCTAATGAGGACCAAGAGCTGAGAATACAGTGTCCTGGTTGGCAGCCCATGCTGAGAACCAGCCTTACAGAGGGTCCTTGCCAGGACCATCCCCAGTTGCTTTCATGTCCTCAAGGGTCCTAAATGGCCTGCAACTGACTGGATGTTTACTATCCTTTAGATGGAGATGTGCCTCCTTCCATCTGATTCCAAATGGTCCCAGATGGCTATGACCTGGAATCATAAATGGAGTTAGTGACTCCTTAATGCCTGTATGTCACTCCAGGTGAATTAAACAAGGCCAAGATAAGCGACATGGGGATGGGCTATGAACACAGTGGTCTTCAAGCTACCTCAGCAGCACAAAGTGTGGGCAGGGAGGGAAAATGTCTCCAACTCACTAGCAGGAGGGTGTGGATGAGGCCAGCTGCTGGGACAGCTGTCTGAGCACACTGCATCTAGATGTGGCTCTGCCTTTGTCAGTCTCACCCAGTCCATTGCATGGTGACTAATGGTATGTTTTCAGTAAAGGCCATCCACCCTCATGACAAGTAGCCATAATAAAAGAAACCTCTTTGAGACAGTCTGGTCCACCACCACGCACATGAATGTGTATCAGGACAGTGGTGATTGGAACCAAAGAAAATACTGGATCAGAACAGCAGTCAGCAGGCATGACCAACCCAGATGCCAACTTATTCTGTGTGTATGTGTACTTATGTGTAGGTTTGTGTACACACAAATGCATGTGTATGTGGAGACCAGAGCACAATCTTGAGTCTACCTTGATTTTTGAGACAGGGCCTCTCATTGACCAGGAACTAGCCAATAAGCTAGGCTGGCTAGCCAGTGAGCTGTCTCTCTAGCTCTGGGATTACAGGTACGTGTCACCTTTCTATATAGGTGCTGGGGAGATGAACTTGGGTCCTCAGGCTTGTATGGCAAGCACTGTTATAACTGAACCAGATCTCCAGGCCCCCCAAAAAACTTTTTTTAACTTTGTAAATTGTGTAAATTCCCCCTTAACCTGAGTTCCAGGAACTAAACTCAGTGTGACAGGTTTGTGTAGTGAGTTCTTTTATCCTCTGAACCCTCTTACTGGTCTGTTTTTTAAAATACCATTTGAAGACCACAGCCGAGCTTGCCTACGTCTGCTTTGTCTCTGATGCACTCACACAACACAGGAGATGCTGAGTGTCCCTACTGGAAGGGCACAGCCTACTGAGCTAAGCACACCAGCTCTCTGGTGCTTCATAGGAAGCTATCCTGGTGAAATAAGAGGAGGCCCACCCACAGGAAGACTGTCGTTCCCCTCCGTGGCTATTTCCTCCCTACAGCTTTTCTGTGGTGAGTACAGTCTTCAAGGACAGACCAGTTGGCAGCAGTGCCATGGCCCCCCAGATGCATACCTTGTTTCCGATGGCCTTTTTGGGTGGGAAGTTGTAGGCCCTTACTTGCGGGAATGCACTCTGCAGCTGGTGATGCAATGCCCGGAACTCAGTGTACCGCCGATACACATTCCACTCATCATCCTTTATCCGAATGTAGACCTGCCAGTGAGGGAGAGAGGAAAACAGGCTGAGCCCAAGCTCCTAAGGTCATCCTCACAGAGGCAGGTGCTGCGTCACTCTGTTCTCACAGAGGACACATCTGCTTCACGCCACTGGGCACCAAGCACCTGGCACAAAATGGTGGCACTGATGGCAGCAACAATGGGCTCAGGAAAAGGTGAGGCAAGTGACAGGAGAGGCAAGCTGCACATTATGTACCCACCAGTCTGAGTGACAGCAGGGATGCAGCTCCCTGGTCATATATGTGGCTCTTACAAGCTGCCCCATAGACACCAATTCTGCAAATCCCACAGGACTGAGGTCACACTGACCACCACATAGTAGGCCAGCACACAGTAGGGGAGCTGATTTTGGACAAAGAGGAATGAGGTCAAGATCTTCTAGACTACTGAGGGTCTCAGCATAACAGAAGGCCACACCTTAAGCACACGCAGGGACATAACTTTATCTCAGCCAAGTTGGGGCACTGCCTGAAGAACACTCAAGATGCTACTATGGGCTCAGCACCTACCAGGACACAGTACAACTACTTGGCAAGGAACTCTAAGAAATGGGAGGCTCTTTTTTTGAGAAAGATTTTCCCATTTGTACCTGGTTGGCCTTGAACTTGCTGTGTAGACTGGGCCAACCTTAAACTCACAAAGATCCTACTGCTAAATGCTGGTATTAAAGGTATGTACCACTGCTCCCAAATGATGTGTCTTAAAACATCATTCCACCTAAGAATCACAGAGAGGGCACAGCCTCCATGTAATGACTACTAAACTTCATATGAAGCAAGGGTCCCTCCATCTTCAAAAACAGACCAATAGGAACAAGCATCTCTACTGTGAGTCAGGCTCACTGCATTCTTCATAATATATATTTAGAAACCGACTCTCTTTTTACTCAGAGAAAGCAAGAGCACACTTACTATTCTCCCTGCTCTTCCCGAGCCTTCTACATGGATGCTTGGCAGTTGTATGTGTCATCCCCCCCCACCTCCCCTGGCCACAGGCAGCCACGCCCAGTTCTACAGGCCCTGTGTTTCCACCCAGGACTCTCCAATCTGCCTCTAGTACAGACCTCAGGCATGAGCTGCAGCCCTGGTGTGCGTCTTCACATTCTTTAAATCTGAAGCCAGACCCTAAGCCATAAGCCTGGCTCCTCCTAGGCTTTTATTTATTCATCTCCAAGAGCAAAGACAACAGCAAAACATAATGACTTTGCTGCTCATGTTGCCTGCAAGCTGCCAAGCCAAGTCGGCAGCAGTCTCTAGGAGCAGAGGACTTGACGGCTGTTGTAGCCACACTCCTGCCTTTGCTGGTATCCAGGGTGCATTTCTGGAAGCCACTGTTGCTCTACCTGGAGGACAGTGATAGCCAGGGGAACAGGAAGAGTGCAAAGGCAGTATGGGTCACCCATGATAGGCTCACCTCAGCACCTCACACAGATGTGGGTGGAGCTCTCAGTTCTGAAATGAGCCTCTGAACTCAGTGAGTGGGAGGCCCAAGGTTGAAGAGAAATAACAAACTACAACCAAACACAAGACCTTCAGCGCTCAGCGCCTATCATGGGCTGCAAGGCATATGGTGGGAACATATCCTCTCAAGATGAAGACATGGAGTCAAAGAGGCAAAGACACCTGCCCAGAAAATAGGGAAGTGAAGAATTTGAGCACAGAGCTGTCTTCTCCCCAGTGTCCCAAGTTTTCTACTCCAGTGCTCCACTGCGACGACTATGGCTCACAGGGGCCCCTGGGATCCCAGATCCCAGAAAAGCCCCTGATGCAGCCTTCTCACACTTCTCCCCTTGGATCTAAGGATCTAACATGAGAGAGTCAGATTATTAATATGCAATCCCAACAACCTGCTTGGCACCCAACCCAGGGAAACCTGAGGTACAGATGATTTGATCATGAATTCTACAACACAGGTTTAAGCATGCATATGCTGAAAACTATTAGGGTGATTCATTCATTCATTCATTTTAAAGGGCTCTTCCATCCAAATTAAGTTTGACTGGCCCATTTTCCTCAACTTGAGCCATAAAGACAAAACTCCTTGGAGGAAATGAGAAGCCAGTCTCTTCCACATAACCAAGGTCCATTTTAAATGAGGGATAAAACCACATATCTCCTTGACTCAGCAGAAGGAAATAAAATCAGTGGGTACTGCTGGCTTGGCACTAGGGTTCACTGTCTCCTGACTGTAGGGAAAGTGCTGTTGTATAATAATCTTTTTTGTACACTGTGAAGATGTGTCCCTCTGGTTGGTTTAATAAAGAGCTGAATGAATGGCAGGCTGGAGAGATGACTCAGTGGTTAAGAACACTGGCTGGTCTTCCAGAGGTACTGAGTTCAATTCCCAGCAACCATATGATAGCTCATAACCATCTGTAATGAGATCTAGTGCCCTCTTCTGGCCTGTAGGGATACATGCAGACAGAACACTGTATATATGATAAATAAATAAATCTTTGAAAGAAAAAAAAAGAGCTGAATGGCTAATAGCTAAGCAGTATTTTCAGGCACAGAGGATACTGGGAAGAAGAAGGCCAGAGGAAGCATGATATACAAGAAGTAACAGCCACAAGCCACGTGGCAGGACATAGAGTAACAGAAAGGTGTTAATTTAAGTTATGAGCTAATTAGAAACAAGCCTAAGCTATCAACCAAACTTTCATAATTAATGAGTCTCTGTACCTTGATTTGGGAGCTGGTTAGTGGGACAGAGAAAGACTCACTACAAATGGCACCTAACATGGGGAGACATGTTTCCATATAAGAACTAAGACAGCTTTAAAAAAGTTACAAACACGGGGCCGGGCGTTGGTGGCACACGCCTTTAATCCCAGCACTCGGGAGGCAGAGGCAGGAGGATCTCTGTGAGTTCCAGGCCAGCCTGGTCTACAGAGTGAGTTCCAGGACAGGCTCCAAAACAATACAGAGAAACCCTGTCTCGAAACAAACAAACAAACAAACAAAAAGTTACAAATATGCAAAAAAATGCTACCAAACGCAGCTTCCTGGTTGAGGTCTCTCATGCAGGCCGCAGTACAAAGACACATCTCTTGACCACTGCCTGCATGCTTGAGCTGCCTACAGATTTTGCACATACAGACAGAAAAGCTTACAGATATGCAGTAAAGTAGATCCAGACAGAAAAGTCCTCTAAACAGGTTACAGTGTGTTGAAAAAAGTGTGTTTAGGCTTTTAAAAAGACATGCCAATGAAAATAAAATACAAGAATGTTACAAAACATCAAATAGAGTTGAATACAAAAAGAGTCCCCTCGCCACATAATAATCAAGACCCCAAACATACAGAATAAAGAAAGAATATTAAGAGTAGTAAAGGAAACATGCTAAGTAACACATAAAGGCAAACCTATCAGGATTACACCTGACTTCTTCATGGAAACTCAGAAAGCCAGAAGGTCCTGGATAGATATTCTACAAACACTAAGAGACCATGGATGCCAGGTTATACTACTATATCCAGCAAAGCTTTCAATCACTACAGAGAGAGAAAACAAGATTTCCAGCAACATAGTAAACACCAACAGATACAAAACAATTGGAATAACCCCCTGTATCTTATCAGACTATCATGCTTTAAAGTTATAATTCAAAAACAACACAAATGGCAGAAACCCTACAAACTCATAGAATTTGAATAATGCTCAATTGCACCATTCCTGGGTCAAGGAAGAAATAAAGAAAGAAATTAAGGACTTCCTAGAATTCAATGAGAATGAAGACACAACATACCCAAACTTATGGGACACTTTGAAAGCAGTGCTAAGAGGAAAGTGCCCACAAGAAGAAACTGGAGAATAGTCACACTTGAGAATTAACAGCACAACTGAAAGCTCTAGAACAAAAAGAAGCAAACTCACACAGGAGGAGTAGATAACAGGAAATAATCAAATTGAGGGCTGAAATCAACAAAATAGAAACAAAGAAAACAATACAAAGTGTTGGTTCTTTGAGAAAATCAACAAGATAGACAAACCCATCTAAACTAACAAAAGGATAGAGAGAGAACATGCAAATTATCAAAATCAGAAACGAAAAGGAAAACATAACAACAGACTCTGAGGAAATCCAGAGAATCTTCATGTCATACTTTGAAAACCTGTACTCCACAATTTCCAAAATTTTAAAGTAAATGGACAATTTTCTGGATAGATATCACTCTTAGGCATATACGCAAAAGATGCCCATTCACACAACAAGGATGTCTGTTCCACTATATTCATACCAGAATTATACGTAATAGCTAGATCCTGGAAGCAACCTAGATGCCCCTCAACTGAAGAGTGGATAGAGAAAATGTGGTACATTTACACAATGGAGTACTACTCAGCAGAGAAAAACAATGGAATCTTGAAATTTGCAGGCAAATGGATGGCACTAGAGGAAACCATCCTGAGTGAGGTAACTCAGACATAAAAAGACAAACATTGTATGTACTCACTCATATATGGATTTTAGATATGGATCAGGGAAGTGTCAGCCTACAATCCCAGTGCCAGTGAGTCTGGGAAACAAGGAGGTTCCCAAGAGAGATGCAGGATACTCCAGAGAAGTGGAATAAGGCAAGATCTCCTGAGCAGATTGGGAACATCGGGGGAGGAGGGAGGGACCCAAGAAAAAGAGAGGGAGATAAGAGGAGGGAAGAAGGCATGGGGGAGCAGGAACATTGAGTCGAGGTAAGAATAGAGGAGAACAGGATGAGAGATACCATAATAGATCGAGTCATTATAGTCTTGAGGAGAGAGCTGACACTAGTGAGATCTCCAGAGATCTACAAGGATAACAGCAACTGGCAAACTAAACAATAATGGAGAGACTACACTAATAGCCCCTCCTTGATGATAGGGTTGATGACTACCCTATATGCCATCCTAGAACCTTCATCCAGGGGCTGATGGAAGCAGAGACAGATACCCATAGCTAAACACTGAACTGAACTCCTGGAACCTAGTGACAGAGAT